GAGAGAACCAGACGCCCTTAGGCTGAATCCCACTCAGGAGCTAGATGCCCTTGCCAAGGCCACACTTCTCTGATTCTGTTTTCTCATTTGGAGAAGGGAGGTGGTGCTACTTTACTGCGAAGAGTAAATGCCGGAACATGTAAGAGCTACGGGGCACGTGCCTGACACACAACAGGTGGTCAGTCGTGGAGGCTCTTCCATCACGGTGGCTTCCTCCCTACAAAGCCCGGGTGAATATCAATCCAAGGTACTCTCACTAGCAAAGCCTGGTTCTCAAGACAATGCACAGGAGAGGTAACTGGGTGCCAACACGGCCAGCTTAGCTGGTGGCAAGGCCACTGACGTTTCTGTTGAAAGAATAATCTTAATGGAACAAAATTCAAAATAATACCACAAAAGATTGGTTTGCCCATCATGGAGGGATTTTTCTTTCTTTTTTCACATTATTTTTGGTTATAAATCCACTGGCTGATAAAAATATATTTGCAGGGTCGTAAGTTGGTCACGGTTGGAATGAATGGTCCAAGAATTTGGCAATTCTAGAGGTAAGACTTAATATTGTAAAGATGCTAAGTCTTCCCAAATTATTAATTCAGTGCAATGTCAATCATGATCCTAAATAGGTTTTTAAATAGAACTTGACAAAATAAACCTCACTGGATTAAGAAAACGTATAAAAATAGCGAAGAAAATGTTGATAATAAACAATAAGGGATTATATAGGCATATTCACTCAGATAATTTAAAAAGCTGTTCATGTAGGATTTATGGACTTTGCTGTATGTATATTACATTGCTTACAATGTAAAACTTTGTAAAAGCTTACAAAGTTTGGGGAAGGATATGGAAAATGAGAGCAATTGGTCTTATGAAAACATACGATAGAGCTAACATAATCAATCCCATGTAAGGCATAATAAAACAAATAGTTCAATGGAATGGAATAATCTTGCTACAGAATTTAATATATGGCTGGGCGTGGTGACTCACACCTGTAATCCTAGCACTCTGGGAGGCTGAGGCGGGCGGATTGCTCGAGGTCAGGAGTTCAAAACCAGCCTGGGCAAGACCCCATTTCTACTAAAAATAGAAAGAAATTAATTGACCAACTAAAAAAATATATATATAAAAAATTAGCCGGGCATGGTGGTGCATGCCTGTAGTCCCAGCTACTCGGGAGGCTGAGGCAGGAGGATCGCTTGAGCCCAGAAGATTGAGGTTGCTGTGAGCGAGGCTGATGCCAGGGCACTCACTCTAGCCTGGGCAACAAAGTGAGACTCTGTCTCAAAAAAAAAAAGAATTTAATATATGAGACATGGGATTTCAAACAAATGGGGAAATTATAGATTATTCAATAAATACTGTTGAGGCCAAGAGCAGTGGCATACCTGGAATCCTAGCACTCTGGGAGCCGAGGTGGTAAGATCACTTGAGGTCAGGAGTTCAAGACCAGCCTGATTAAGAGCGAGACCCCCATCTCTACAAAATATAGAAAAATTAGCCAGGCTGGTGGTGTGTGTCTGTAGTCCCAGCTACTTGGGAGGCTGAGGCAGGAGGATCATTTGAGCCCAGGAATTTGAGGTTGCAGTGAGTAATACCACTGCACTCTAGCTAGGAGAACAGAGCCAAGACTCTGTCTCCATTAAGACAATTAGCAATCCATTTGGAAAAAAATAAAATTTGGACTCCCCTCCCCTCCCCTACCTCACATGGTACACAAAAATCAATTCCAGGGGAATAAAGACATAAATGGCATGGTCATTCATAGATGGTAGAAGGATTAATTCATATTGCCTTTCTGTAGGACAACTTGGTGGGCTCCTTCAGCATTTAAATGTGCAGATCCTCTGCACCAGCCATTTCATTTCTTGGACTCTCTCAAGGTGGTTTATTCATATAGGTGCACAAGGACTTATGTGCAGCTGTGTGCACTGTGATGCACGTAAGTGATAGTGGAAAACTGGACCAACTTCCATGTCCATCAACAATAGCTAAATAAATCACATACATGCTTACAATGTGTTACACTGGATGGCCATTCACAGGAATAAGATAGCTTCAGTCATCCATTCAAGAAATATTTCCTGAGCACCTACTATGTGCTAGAACCAGATCTGGCACAGGGATACAGCAGACAGCAAAGTATCTATCTTCGTGGGGATTATTACATTTTAGTGGGGTTGACAATGAACAAAGAACAATAAAAATATAATATGATTCAGAGTGGAGGATCTTGGGAAGAAAATAAAACAGGTTGAGGGGACAGAGTGAGGGAGGTGGCATTTTAGACTGGGTGATATAAAGGCCTCTCCGAGGGGGTGACATCTGAGTTTTATTTGAGGAAGCTCTTCAGTCATGGAAAAGAAGTCTCCAAGAACATTAAGATAAAAAACCAAAAGCAGGGCCAGGTATTGGGGGGCATATTTGTAACCCTAGCACTTTGGGAGGTGGGAGGACCGCTTAAGGCCAGGAGTTTGCAACCAGCCTGGGCAACACAGTAAAACCCCATCTCTACAGAAAATTTTAAAAATTAGCCAGGTGCAGGAGCACACACTTGTACTCCCAGCTACTCAGAAGGCTGAGGTAGGAGGATTGCTTAAGCCCAGGAGGTCAGGGCTACAGTTAGCTATGATCACACCACCTCACCCCATCCTGGGCAAAAGAGCAAGACCCTGTCTCTTAAAAAAAAAAAAGAAAAGAAAACAATCATGGTCAGGCATGGTGGCTCACACCTCTAATCCTAGCACTCTGGGAAGCCGAGGAGGGCGGATTGCTGGAAGTCAGGAGTTTGAAACCAGCCTGAGCAAGAGCAAGACCTCGTCTCTACTACAAATATAGAAAGAAATTAATTGGCCAACTAATATATATAGAAACAATTAGCTGGGCATGGTGGCACATGCCTGTAGTCCCAGCTACTTGGGAGGCTGAGGCAGCAGGATCCCTTGAGCCGAGGAATTTGAGGTTGCTGTGAGCTAGGCTGATGCCACGGCACTCACTCTAGCCTGGGCAACAAAGCAAGACTCTGTTTCAAAAAAAAAAAAAGAAAGAAAGAAAGAAAAAAATCAAAAGACATTGCAGGACAACTTACCTTTTTTTCAACTATAAATGCCTTAATCTCCCTACACATGTGTGTAGGTATATAGGTACAAATACAGACACAAGCCAAACTGTAGACATTAAAGGAAGATTTAAAACTTACTTTCCAGCATGTACTCATATAAGACTTCTGTAATAAAACTTACTAACTGTGGCTATAAAACAAAAACTATGAAGAGCACATATCCAAAGAAGAAACTGGGTCAGCAGAAGTAGCCCAGGGGCAAAAATACTCCTTTCTGGCTCTGCGGCTTGCTTTGTCACCTCAGGCAACCTGTGGCTTCCGTCCCTCTAGGGCAGCAGTTGATTGGCACCTAGAGGGCAGAGGCCGGATGCTGCTAACCACCTTCCCTCCCATCACGACCCCGGGTGTCTTCCCCACCATACACTTGCTGCTGGCAGCTTCACTATTGCTGCTGCATTTTAATTTAATCACATCCCAGAGGGCAGTACACTTTATGAGGCCACCGATCCTGTCTGATTTTTTGTACCACTATGTCCCCAACACCGGGGCATAGAATTGTCCACTCTATTAATAAATACTCTGAGTGGTGAGCATTCAATACACAGAAGCTATGATTACAATCTCGGAGCAGAATCAAGCAGATAGCAAAGCCTGGATTGGTCCTAGAGAAGCTTCTGGAACCAAACTCCATCAGCCGTAACTGCCCCCCCCCAATGCCCCTTCGATGTTATTGCTATCACCCGGCAGGTGACTCTTGAAACCCAAGTGTGCGGGTGCCTGGGAACACACCGGGCCCAGTGCTGCTGCTACATCCTGCATCTTGTCACTCAACCGGCTGCCTGACGTGGTCGGTCCGGTGGTATTTACCTGAGGAACACCCAGAGGTCAGCCGAGTGGCTTGGAGCTGAACAGCTGTGAGAAAGGCAAGGTCCCCAAGGAGCCAAACTGTCCTGGACAAAGAGAAATGACCACCAAGGTTTGGTTCTTGAATATGTATTTTTTACTGAAAAAATCATTCATAAATTAACATACAAAAATGTACAAACACATAAGTAAATAATGTAATGACAAAGGACTATTTGTGAAAAGTGTTTTTTAAAACATCTTTAGATTTCAGTGCAAAAATGTACCCCTGGCACCTCTTAAAACATAAGAGCAAGCTCAAAAACACGCAGTGGTGGAAATAAGCTGCTACGTTCAATGCCGTCGTCAATGGTGCCCGGATACAATCAGTACGTGTGGCTGTTGCTCAGCTGTTAACGTCTGTGGTAGAGGGGCTCTGACAAGAGTCCCTGTTATGTCAAAATGAAGATTTTTGCAAATACCCCCCCCCCAAAAAAAACCAGCATGAACGGGGCACCTTTCTTTCCCTGCACACAGCAAAGACAAGATTGATTTAAAAGGTCACCCATCAGTAGCCTTGAAGAAGTTCAGCTGCCAAAATATGCACAAGGTCACATTTGATTCTTACATTTCTTTTTTTCTTTTAACATGATAATTTCAACAGCACATGGAACCGGCTGTTATGTTTTTAACTATTACATTTTCTGTACAAGATTCAACACGGTGGACAGATGACTAACAGTGCACATTAAGAGACTCCACACTGGCTGGGCGCGGTGGCTCACGCCTGTAATCCTAGCACTCTGGGAAGCCGAGGCGGGCAGATCGCTCAAGGTCAGGAGTTCAAAACCAGCTCCTGAGCAAGAGCGAGACCCTGTCTCTACTAAAAATAGAAATTAATTGGCCAACTAAAAATATACAGAAAAAATTAGCCGGCATGGTGGCGCATGCCTGTAGTCCCAGCTACTCGGGAGGCTGAGGCAGAAGGATTGCTTGAGCCCAGGAGTTTGAGGTTGCTGTGAGCTATGTTGACGCCACGGTACTCTAGCCCAGGCAACAGAGTGAGACTCTGTCTCACAAAAAAAAAAAAAAAAAATTTTTTTAAAAAGAGAGAGACTCCACACTAATAAAACAAACTTAAGACATGACTGCAAGGGAAATCAAAGTGATGCTAATTTAAGCAGTGAAAAGAAACCTTTCCTTTTGTTCTCAAATTAGCATTTTCTTTTTAAAATCAAGTGTTAGGCTTTTGCCTAATTATGTTAACGTAGAGCTTCAAACAAGATCATTCTACAACACTGCCGCATATGCACGCATCACCCTTAACCAAGAATGAGTCTGTCCCGCCAAACCCTTCCAAGTGACATCACAGTGCTGTCACACTGAAAGCAACTCATTCACGAGGAGAAAGGAGAGTGGAGCGAGGAGGGCAGGGGAGCCTCGGCCTGCAAGGAGGCCTGGGGTGGGGGTGTCTTTATTGCTATATGCACCGTAAAACAAAGGAAAACCGAATGAACTTCTGTAATGTTCCCTCGTGAAGTTACTTTAAAGCATGAACTGCTTAAAATTCTTTTAAAGTATGATACAACTCACCAGCATTTTCAAGGGCAGGAGCCTGCTCTCTCATATGAGCTGATAAGAGCTTTGCAATGCAATTTATTTTCTAATTACCACTCTATTCTTCAAAAGAACACAAAATGAGGCCTGGCCAATCACACCCACGGTCTGTGGGGATCATAAGTCCACGGAACCAACACATGCAACGGAATAAGCCCCAACCCACACGTATGTACACACGCATCTCTACATACACACCCATGTAAACCATGAAAATTAAGGAAGTTGAAGGCAAACAAGGCAATTAAAAAAAATACGAAGTACTCTTCAGAAAGTACTCCTAATTACAATATATAAATATGTTTTATGGAAAAGAGGGAGGGGAAAAAAGGTGGCATTTTCCAGAGTTCTGCAGAAGCCGACAGGGACTAGGAGGGCTTTGGTTCAGGGAAAAGAAAAGCAAAGAGGCACAAATTCCAATGCAATTTAGAATACGGGATACCAGCAGAGCACCTGGGCTCTTGCAGCATTCTGGAGCTCTGATCAGTCTAATCTCAAAACTCTGATCTGGTCTTACCTGAACCCCACCTCACCCACAACACTCAAGTGCCACCTGCTCCCTGGCTGAATTCTTCCTGATTCAATTGCTCATTAGTTCTATGTACTAGTTAATAATGTTGACAAAGCAGCACTCCAGAAACCGAAAAGGGAAAGAGGAATCACGGAAACCAGCTGGTAATTTAGGCACATCTTGCAGAAACTGTGGCCAAGTTCAAAAGAGAAAGAAGTTCGCGGGGAAGGGGAGGACCACACACAACATCCTCTCTCTCTCTCTCTGTATGATGGTGAAAGGATAAAAAGTCGAGTCCAGAGAGCAGGGAAGTGTGCAGGGAGCCCCTGCAGGGTCTGCGGTGGGCAGGGAGAACAGCAGCCTCCTGCTCGGTAGAAGATGGGGGTCAGAGTGCACGTGGCCCAGAGGGAAGAGAGAATCCACAGCAAAGTCAAGAGCAGGACTTGTGGAACAAGGAAGAGGGCAGAGCAGCCAGCTACCAGGGTTGGGTTATTTTGTTCTTTTGTGACATGCCCTATATCCAACTCCCTTCCCAAAGTGACAACAATTTGGGAGATGATATTCTTCAATTACATTTTAACTGAGTTCCTGCATTTGCCAACCAAGTAAGTGATCTAATGTATAAATCCTCGTTTGACTTGGAGCGAGCTATAAAATTAAATTTAAAAAAGGCATTTTACATGGCTTATTTACAATTTACTTCTTCAAGAAGCGATTGTTATATATTTAGGTCTATTTATCTGTCCCAAGTCCCTCCCCTCCACCCTCAATCCCCACCCAAAGCAGGTAATTTTCTTTTTTTAAAAAAAAATGAAACCAAAGAGAACACCGGAGATAATAGAAGAATGGTGTGTGGAGTTCCATTTGCTCTTCCTAAAACACAGCTGCCCTGTGGTGGGTTTGCCTCTAGCAATTGCTCTGAAGGCCAAGAGGTTCAAAGGTCATCTGTAGGGACAGGCTCCATGGCAGGACCAAGGCAAATCACAGCTCGTCCCAGGTCCTGGAGGTTGTGGCCGAGATAAGGACGTGGGGGCGGGAGACGGGAGAGAGCAGCAGGACAGACGTCCGTCTTGGAAAACCGAAAGCCAGTGCTGATGAAGGAAGTCCCGAGCTCACTCCTCGGTCGCGGTGGGTGGGTCCAGCGGAGGCGTTTTGTGCGTGTGCTCAAACCCTGTGATCCTGCATTCAACGTGTTTCTACTCCCTCCCCGCGCAGCCCCGCGGCGTGCATCAGACTGCTTTCTTGGTGGCGGTGGGTGAAGCCAATGTACATTCTCTCCTCGTCTCAGTACTCATTCACCTGAGCCAGCTCGGGTGTCAAGTTCACAGTTATGTTTTTATACAAGGCGTCGTATGTGATGTTTGCAAAGTAGTTCAGGTTGTTGAGGCCATCCAGCCCTTGCCGTTCTTTTGACTTCCTCAGCAGAGCGTACCTGTGTAAGCAGAGAACAGAGAGGTGGCTCTGAGCAAGGACCCAAACCTCTTCACAGTCACAGACGGAGCCGGGCAGCCTGCAGGAGAGGTGGCCGCCCAGGCAGTGCTTCGGCGGCACGGGCCCTCCACGCCCACCACCTGCCACTCAGCCCTTGTTGCTGCCGCTGCTGCTATCAGGAGCACCTATTATCCCCGGCGATACTTATTACAGTGCTTCACGTAACGCCCAGCCCCGGCCCCCCAAGCAAATGAGGAAACCAAGGCCTAGTAACTTTAAGTGACTTGCCTAAGGTCACAGGGTAACATTTTAAAAATAAATCAGACGACAGAGTTCATAGTCTGTGTTCAAGTGCCCTTTTACTCCCGTAAAAATAGAGTTTGAGGAATTAGAATTGGCTGTCTAGAAAACAGGCTTCCCCACAATTCACAAAACACAAAAAAAGGAAGAAAAGAAGGTTGTACAGCAACTGCAACCACGCAGATAGCAGCTCAGGAGTACCCGTTCAGAACTGGAGCTCGCAAAAAGCCTGCCAACTGCTTTGTCACGTCAGCTAAGTTCCACACAGACCTTCACCCAAGTGGCTTTTTCTCCAGTTCCCTACAGGGGAGACTACAATGCTTAAGAATCAGAACAAGTGATTTCCTTAGAAGAGCTCACTACTGAAATTTTCACCAGTGGTCTGATTTCACCCCCAAATGTCTGCCTCAGAGTTTGAACACACACAGTAACTGCAAAACGGCTGTCAGAACAGGGCCTTGGGGCGCGGGGTGGGGAGTTAAGGCGAGGGGTTGTGATATGCACTAAGACATCCGGACATGCAAAGCACAGAGGGTATTTTAACAGAAATAAACACACTGCACCAACCTTCCAAGAAACTGGACTTCTCCTCGATGGTGATGAGGGATGGACTTGTACTTTCCTGTGTCGCCCTCCGGCCGGCTCACAGAATAGCCTGCATTCTGTACTCTGTCCAAGACCAAGAGAATGGGCTTTTAGACACAATCCCAGGAGTAACATCCCAGAGTGACCAAAACCTAAGAAGACACGTCACAGCTTACTCGGGCACTCCTGCACAGCAAAAGCTTTCTCACCCACCTCCATTTACTGGGTCACATTTAAAAACAAACAAACAAAAAAACTAAATTAAAATTCAATTTTAACTCATTTACAGTTTTTAGCTGAGGCTCTCTGAGCCCCTATAAAATACACGAATCGACGCTCACAGCTCTCTGAGTGCCGGCGGCTGACGGGCCACTCTCTATCAGGCCTGCACACCTCAACTCACACCAGGATGGCTAACACTCACTGAAAGTCAGTAAGTGACCCCAAGCATTTATCTAGCTGCACCTGTTATTACAGTTATAAGATTTAACTAAATCATACATAAATTAACAAAATATAGCCAAAGAATTGTTTCCATGAAAAATATGTTGCGGAAAAAAACTGATAAAAGACAAAGTGATTTTAGGCCAGGCGTGGTGGCTCACGCCTGTAATCCTAGCACTCTGGGAGGCCGAGGCGGGCAGCTCGCTCAAGGTCAGGAGTTCGAGACCAGCCTGAGCAAGAGCGAGACCCCATCTCTACTAAAAATAGAAAGAAATTAATCGGCCAACTAAAAATATATAGAAAAAATGAGCCAGGCATGGTGGCACATGCCTGAGTCCCAGCTACTCAGGAGGCTGAGGCAGGAGGATTGCTTGAGCCCAGGAGTTTGAGGTTGCTGTGAGCTAGGCTGACGCCACGGCACTCTAGCCCAGGCAACAGAGTGAGACTCTGTCTCAAAAAAAAAAAAAAGACAAAGTGATTTAAAAAAAAATTCTAGTGAATGATTTAGGTATGGGTGAGACAATTATAAAATACTGAAAGGAAAATCATAAAAATTTAGAAGGATTTGACACTCAGATACTTTTTAAATCACTCTCCAGTAGAGTTGACTTTTTTATGTGAGACAAGGTCTCCTCTGTTACCCAGGCTAGACTGCAGTGCTCACTACAACCTCAAACTCCTGGGGTCAAGTGATCCTCCTGTCTCAGCCTCCCAAGTAGCTGGGGCTATAGGCATGTACCACTGCGCCTGGCAAATTTTTTCTATTTTTAGTAGAAACTGAGTCTCACTCTTGCTCAGCCTGGTCTTGAACTCCTGAGCTCAAACGATCCTCCCGCCTCAGCCTCCCAGAGTGCTAGGATTGCAGGTGTGAGCCACTGCGCCCAGCCACTCATCTGTATTTTATAATTAGCATTATTATAAGAAAAAAAATTGAGAAATTATCATCTAAGTTTATTTTTACATGTCAAAGGAGAGAAAAATGAAAATAGTTACTTTGGCAGGATGTAGAGTTTGTTTTTAGGATGGTAGGAGATTTTTTTAAATGTTATAATTGTCTAATTTTTTAAATGAATAAAAATCACTTCTATGGCTTCAAGTATTCTAGTCTTTATCACAAAAGAAAACTAATGGCTGCTCCTAAAATCCAATCAGAGAAAGAACTGTGTGGAGCTGCTCTACCATGGTGGCCATGAACCACACGGCTGAACTGTGGCTACTCAGAGGTGAAATGTGCGATGAGTGTAAGTACAGACTGAATTTCAAAGATTTATTTCTTCTTCTTTTTTTCTTATATTTTTAAAGGGGATGAATTTCAAAGATGTAGTAAGAAAAAATGAATGTGAACTATCTCATTAATACTTTATACTGATTACATGTTGAAATGGCATTATTTTGGATATAGTATATTTATAACATGATAATATATTAATGTATTATTAAAATTAACTTCACTTTTTTTTGGCCTTTTACAACGTGGCCACTGGGACACTTTACATTACACACATGGCTTGCACTATATTCCTGTTGGATAGCACTGGTCCACAGAGTCCAAGGTGGCATTTCTAGAAGATGCCAAACGAAGGGTCGTACCTGTTCCAGAGGTCGTCATCTTCTCCACCCCAACCCCAGAAAGCATTGGGAAAGCCATTGATTTTCCGAAACTGTTCCACCGTTAAGCCGCTCACTCCGCCAAAGAACTCAGCGTAAGGAAGCCTGAAAGGAGACGCAGACTGTCAATCGTGTGCACGTTACACGGTGACTCTGTCCCTAGAACAGGCCATCTCACTTGAGGACCAGCAACAACTCTGCTCCTGACCTGAGCTATCTAAATTCTCATGTTGACATATATCAATCAAAGTAGCAAATTAAACTTTTCCTAATCGATTTGTGACAACAGCTTTATTGAGATATAACTGACATACCATACAATTCGTCCATTTTTAAGTATATAATTCAATGGTTTTAGTATATTCATTGAGTTGTGCAACCATGACCACAATCAATATTAGTACATTTCACTACCCCCTCCAAAAGCTCTGTAGCCATGAGCAGTCACTTCCCCCAAACATTTCCCTCTGCCAACCCCCTAGCCCTAGGCAACCACTAATCTGTCTCTATAGATTTGCCTATTCTGGACATTTCAGATAAACGGAATCAGACAACATATGACCTTTTGTGTCTGGCTTCTTTCACTTAACATAATGTTTTGTGGTTCATCCATGTTTTTGGTATGTATCAGTACTTCATTCTTTTTTATTGCTAAACAGTATTTTGCCCACATTTTGTTTATCCATTCACCAGTTGATGGACATCTGGGTTGTATGTAGCGAATTGGATTTCATCATCTTTACATCTCTCACTATCCTTTTAGATTTAAACTTTTTAAGAGGAAATGATACTCACAGATACATATACTTATCCAATTTAGTTGCAAAGTGCCTTGGCATCTGTCCACATCCATAATAGTTGCGATCACTTTCTGGTATATGATCCACATCGTGAAAAATAAGACAGTCCCAATCCAAGTCCTTCATTGCCTCTTGAAAACCAACGTTGAAAAGCATGGCTCGATTAAAGGGTTGGGTACCAACCTAAAAGAAGCAAAATTTTATTTTTAAAAGGACTCTTGAAGCAAAATCTTTGCTGCCTTTGCCCTGCCTAAGGAAGAGCTTATCGGGACCTACTGGGAAAGGTCACTGCGCTAGTGTGCCCAGGTCCAGCACCACACATCAGTGGCTCACTCACAGTATGGCCCAGAGGCCACTCAGACTCTCACCCTGATTTCCTTAGAAATAAAAGTGGTGGTAGGCTGGGCGCAGCAGCTCATACCTGTAATCCTAGCACTCTGGGAGGCTGAGGTGGGAGGACTGCTTGAGCTCTCCTGGAGTTCAAGACCAGGCTGTGTGATAATAAGAACCCATCTATACTAAAAATAGAAAAATTAGCCAGGCATGGTGGCAGATGTCTGTGGTCCCAGCTACTATAGAGGCTGAGGCAGGAAGGTTGCTTGAGTATACCAGGGACTCAAGCCTATGGACACAGAATTTGGTGGCTCATGAAGAGACCAGTTCAGATCAGTTACAGCCCAACTAGTCTAAATGCTTTGCCCGTATCAAAATACCCACCTCGGGACAGGCTTACAGAGTGGGAGACTTCCCACTTTTGGGAACAGCAGCGCTGATCCCTTTTCCGCATTCCAGGATAATGCAAACCACACGATGACCTTAGAGCAGCTCGGGCATTTAGTTTCTAAAGCATGCTTGCAGGCTAAGGTGAGCATGCAAAAAGGCTCTCAAAGCTGAGCATCAGTGTATAAAGGGGAATCTGTAAATCTTTCACTTATCTATAGAGCCTCTAGTTCAAGGATCACAAACTTAAAAAATGCCTACAGAAGCCATGTCGGAAATGTCAACATGTAAACTGGGCCAGGCAAGAGACACAGCAGTAGCAGTGGGGACTGAGGCCAGCTAGACAGTCGTGTTCATCTAAATAAAAAAATACGCAGGACCAAAAAAAGGATTTATAGACTGAATTTACCATGTGGATGTTTAGTATGTGTGACCTCTATATCTGATTCAATCCCAATACTTCTTTTTTTTTTTGAGACAGTCTCACTTTGTTGCCCAGGCTAGAGTGAGTGCCGTGGCATCAGCCTAGCTCACAGCAACCTCAAACTCCTGGGCTCAAGCGATCCTGCTGCCTCAGCCTCCCAGGTAGCTGGGACTACAGGCATGCACCACCATGTCCGGCTAATTTTTTCTATATATATTAGTTGGCCAATTAATTTCTTTCTATTTATAGTAGAGATGGGGTCTTGCTCTTGCTCAGGCTGGTTTCGAACTCCTGACTTCGAGCAATCCGCCCGCCTTAGGAGTGCTAGGATTACAGGCGTGAGCCACCGTGTCCGGCCCAATACTTCTAATATTAAAACCAAACCAGAACACCATCTGGGGGATGGTCATGCTGGAAACTCAGACTTGTGGGGGGAGGAGGGAAAAGGGCATTTATTGAAACCTTAAAATCTGTACCCCCATAATATGCCGGGAAAAAAAAAAAAAAAACCAAACCAAATCTGCAAACACCCCAGACCATGTGGCTAATTAATAGCAGATAGCACTGAGGTCCCTGACTCCAAGGCCTCTGTGCAGGACCTTGATCCAGGTCCTTATCTTAAGGGGAATTTCCTGGGTCTGGGGCCTGAAGATGCTGCCCAAAGCAGGCACTAGCAAACCACCAGACGAAGGGCTGCTGTTCACAAGCAAAGTTCCCTCCTGGACTGGAATGTGCCTGGTACTGGGCAACACCTCAAGCCAGGAGCACAGAATTGCCCTCTGTTCCTCTTCCCACCTCAGGGCAACTCAATTAGAAATTTCAGCTGTATGGGCTCGTCACACCAAAGATGAATTAGCCTGCAGCCTTCTAAACTGGTGTCTCAGAAAAGAAGAAGAAAAGAAAAGGTCACTCACTTGTTCAACCACATAAAATGCAAACCGTAGGCGCTGGCGCTGAAGCATGGGAATCAGGTGTCTGAACAGGACCGGGAGGTGCTCGTGACGGTTCCGGAAGGGGATGAGGATTGCCACCTGGAGTGGATCACCGCGAAAGAAGCTATTCAGTTATTGTCCTGAACTTCCACTTCCTATCAGGACATCCCTGCAGAATCAGTAACCAACCACCGGGAGTCCTGGGAAGCTAGCCGTCTTGTCCTCGACTTCCTCTAAATAAACACCTATACTTATAGGCAAGTTGACCCTTGTAACTAGAAACTAAATGGATCTTGTTCTTACATGCATCATACCTTAATAGCAGTACATGGCAGGCTTGCTGAATAAATCATTCTAGACCAGTGGTCCCCAACCTTTTGGGCACCAGGGACCATATTCACAGAAGACACGGCCATGGTGGGGGGGAGATGATTCAAACTCACTGCATTTATTGTGCACTTTATTTCTATTATTATTACACTGTAATATATAATGAAAAAGAACATACAACTCACTACAGCTTGGGGGCTCCTGTTCTAGACCACAATCCATAGAAAAACACATTCTACACTGTGACATGAATCTATCTATCTATAATTAAAATAAGCTTCAATAAGAGTAATTTCCCTTACAATGTGCGCTATATATGTATGTTTTAATACTGGTCGTTAAATCGACTTTATATACCAGTGCTGAGTTGGAAAGACTAATGTGTGCCAGATCTGTACTGATTACTGCTGTTCCACCAGCACCTCACAGGAATGGCGCAGAGAAAGTATCTGAATAAATAGTTTTTGAAACGATGGACTTAAGCAAGGGTCATAAGCTTGATCCACACTACTGATGTCTTCTGACTAGGATCATGTGGAAAAACATAAACCAATCTCAGTGTCAGCTAGATAACTTTGCTTTATATCCCATTAATCTTATAGTAACGAGTGGAGAACAGGCATGAAGCACTGACTCTGTGGCGATGCTTTCTGCAAATGTGTCGCTAGAGACCTACCAACCCTCCTACCCCCTTGCTTTGTTAATATTCCTGAAGACCCTGGAAGACAAAAGGGTCTTACTCAGTAATCAGAATAATGCATTTCTCTGATGCTACAGAGTCCTTGGGGAAACCCATTCCTCCAAAATATGCCCATCAAATGCAAATGCTTTGCATGGGGTGGTAGGGTGAAAATTACAAAATGTCATGGTTAGCAAATCCTGTAGTGATTTGGACCGACTGTAAATCCCACGTGGGCTTCCCAACATTTGGGTCTGACCTCACACCCTACCTTCCATCGAGGTACGCAATCAGAAGGCTTCCAGTGACCTCCGAGCTTGATGGCTGGGTCTTTGGAGAAGATTTCATGAATGTGATCCATGCTGATTTCACTCATGTTTATGTCTATTGGGCCCTCTGAACAGAGAGGGGGGGAAAAAAGGATCAAGAGGTCAGAAAATGACAGATTCTTTTCCCTATGTCCAGGCTTTTATTCTCTGGAGAAGTTCAATGTTTCTTTCAGCTGACTATGTTTTTAAGAGGGATGGAAGTCCCTTCCTCTGCTTTCCATCTCACTGCATTTCAGTTCATCGGTATTACCTGGGTAAAGAAGCAAATCAAGGAATTAAGACTAATTTAGAGTTCTGTTAACTCAGCTGGTCATCTCTGACTTAAGTGAAGAAGCAATACTGTAACCGTCAATAAATACAGGTGAAAGGGTGAGCTAATATTAGGTTTAGATCTGTCAAAAGCCTATTTCTTTTTTTTTTTTTTTTTTTTTTATGAGACAGAGTCTTGCTTTGTTGCCCAGGCTAGAGTGAGTGCTATGGCATTAGCCTAGCTCACAGCAACCTCAAACTCCTGGGCTCAAGCAATCCTGCTGCCTCAGCCTCCTAAATAGCTGGGACTACAGGGATGCACCACCATGTCTGGCTAATTTTTTCTCTATATATTAGTTAGCCAATTAATTTCTTTCTATTTATAGTAGAGACAGGGTCTCGCTCTTACTCAGGCTGGTTTTGAACTCCTGAACTCGAGCAATCCGCCCGCCTCGGCCTCCCAGAGTGCTAGGATTATAGGCGTGAGCCACCTCGCCAGACCAAAAGCCTATTTCTGATCTACAAATCTTAGCCTTCCCAAACCAAGCTCATGTGAAAATGCAGACAAATGTAGATTTTAAAGGGAAGATCTACATGTGTGGTGAGACGTGCAAATGAAACAGCAAGCTTCCAACACAACTTACACACCCAGAATTAATTTTTCATGTACGAATGAGAGTCTGTTCAATACCATGTATGAGTACTTCTAACACTTCCTCTGTTTTCACTATGTTTGAGCTACAGTCAACTCTGTAAACATAAGATTTTCCTTTGCCTGCTCATTTCTTTAAACAAGAATTATAACTACCTAAGAAGCCTGAAAGTACAGAAAAGGCCTAAGAGTTTACTGCCATTGTTTTAGATTACACATGGGATTCCAAAGAAAAACAAGAAAGAAAGAAAAAATCCAAGAATGTTTTTTAACCAGTACTTTGTTAAGAAAATTAACTTTCAGCCAGGCATGGTGGCTCACATCTAGTATCCCAGGAGTTCAAGACCAGCCTGGGCAACACAGTGAGACACTGTCTCTACAAAAAATTTTTAAAAAAATAAGCTGGGCATGGGGGTGCATGTGGGAAGATCACTTAAGCCCAGGAAGTAGAGATTACGGTGAGCAATGATGGCACCATTGCACTCCAGCCTGGGTGACAAAGTGAGACCCTGTCTCTAAAAAAAAAACAAAAACAGGTGGGGGAAGAGAAAGAGAAAAGAACTTCTCTAATATCAAACAAGTTATAATCAGTGGGAGATTTATGCTAAAAAGACAAAGCTGGTTGCGTGCACAATCATGCGCCTCATTTCTGTCCATGATGGATGGCACATACAGTGGTCCTCTAAGATGATAATGGAGGTGAGAAATCCCTGTTGCTTAGTGATGACTTAGCCACCATCACATCCTGGCACAAGGCATTACTCACGTGTTCATGGTGATGCTACTGTAAACAAACCTACTGCTTGCTCTGCCGGTTATAATAAACAATTATGTCACTGGTTTATGTATTTACTACACTACACTTTTTGCTATTTTCTAGTGTACTCCTTCTACTCATAAAAAGAAAAGTTAGCCGGGCATGGTGGCACATGCCTGTAGTCCCAGCTACCCGGGAGGCTGAGGCAGAAGGATCACTCGAGCCCAGGAGTTTGAGGTTGCTGTGAGCTAGGCTGACGCCACGGCACTCACTCTAGCCCGGGCAACAAAGTGAGACTCTGTCTCAAAAAAAAAAAAAAAAAAAAAATTAAAAAAAAAAAAAAGTTAACTACAAAACAGCCTCAGGCAGGTTCCTTCAGGAGGTACCCTAGAAGGTGCCATTATCACAGGACATAACAGCTCCATGCATGTTACTGTCCCTGGGGCAAGATGTGGACACGAAAGACAGTGAAACTGATGACCCGGACTCTGCACAGGTCTAGGCTAATGTGTTTGTATTTTAGTTCTTAACGAAAAAGTTTAAAAAGAAAAAACACATATAAAGGTATAAAGAAAATATTTTTGTACACCTGTACAAAAGGTAGGACTAATCTATTATCGAAGGAAGAAAAATATTTTTTGTAAATTTCATGTAGCCTCAGTGGACGGTGTTTATAGGGTCTCCAGCAGCATGCAGTGATGTCCCCGGCCTTCACGCTCACTCACCACTCACTCACTGACTCGCCCCGGGCAATTTCTAGTCTGCAAGCTCCACGCATGGTAAGTGCCCTACACAGGTGTACCATTCATCTTTTACAGTGTATTTTTACCGTATCTTTTCTATGTTTAAACACAAATACTTAGCACTGGTACAAGTACCTAGAGTACTCAGTTGAGTAACACGCTGCACAGGTCTGTAGCCTAGGAGCAATAGGCTATGCCATACAGCCGAGTATATAGCAGGCTATGCCATCTAGGTTTGTGAAAATACACTCTCTGACCTTCCCACAATGAGGAAATCACCTAATGAGGCACTTCTCAGAACATATCCCTGTCATTAAGTGACCCGTAACTGTACTTTTTAAAGGACATTCTAACAGACTCCAAGTTACAAATGCGGGGTATGTGCAAAGGAAAGAATGAAAACGTAGAAAGTGGCACGCGAGAACACAGGCAACCTTGCAGCAAGCTTTGAAGAAGCTGGGAGCACGAATGACCTTCACCACCCTGTTCCCCTGGCAGGATGTAGGCAGACAGACCAGGGCCAAGAGCACCCTCCCATCATCCACTTTCAAAGCACAGGAAGGTAAGCCAGAGCTCTACTCACTCATGGAAGGGAGCCTTTCAGGGCAGGTATGGTTTGCAAAGTAGGTGAAGTCTTCAGGAAGAAATGTTGTGGTTTGTAGCAAGGTCTCACTGTGGTTCAAGTCAAGAGGATAATCTAGGGAGGTAAGGGGAAAAAAGGCAACTCAGGCTGGCACATGCAATCAATTCTGCAATTCTTAGATGCCTACCACGGAAGCATTTTTCTTGGACGTCATCTTGGGGAAGCAAGACACGGGACTAGCTCTTCACTGCAGCTAAAAATGTGAGATCATAAAAGTGTAACCGGATGATAGATTTTAACCAACGTTCCTGTTCTCATTGGTATTGGAGGCTTATGTTCACTCAGTTTGCAGTCAGCTGTAAGTCACTGTAATGAAGAAACAGCAGACCCCCTCTCCTCCTGTTTCTCATTCTCTAGAGCAGGGGTCCCCAACCTTTTTGGCACCAGGGACTGGTTTCAAGGAAGACAATTTTTCCACAGGCAGGGTGGGGGGTAGTGACTGTGTGTTCATTAGCCACATCCTTCCCAAACACTTAGTTGATATTTGGAGCTGTCTGCTCTGCATTGGTTCCAGGACAGAACTCATATTCAAAAATAGCACAAATTTTTGACTTATCCAGTTTCACAAAATTTGCTCTTAAAAAAACTTTGAAAGATAATCACAAGCCACACAGTGCATTTGAAAGGCTGAGGATGTACCTTCACAATAAAAAATACAAGAAGTGTCAAGGCAAAATGTCAAAGATATCAACTATCAAAGTCAGTACTTAAGGAAATTGGGCATTTCATACTTAATAACCTAAATATATTCTAGGCTTTCTTTCTGGAGAACAGAGCATGAGTTGGATGCTGGACTCATGTTCCTGTAATGGTCTCATCTGTTCCATCTTGCCATTTTTCTGCTCTACTTTCCGAGAGATTTCCTCAACTTTACCCACCCTTCTTTTAATCATTTCTGCTATATTTTTTTATTTCAAAGAGCTTTTTGTTTTCTGAATGTTTGTTCCTTACAATATATGCTTGTTTCATGTTTGCAGTGTTTTTGCTCATATTCCTGATGATATGCGTAATTGTTGTTTTAAGTTTTCTTTTCTCTGAATAGTCTGTTTCTTCCAATTTCCTTTTTCTTGTTTGCTTTGATCTCTAGCACGGTGATCCCTAGTTACTAATATTTAAGAGTGGGATTTGGGGGATAAACACACTTGAAGCTCTTACTCGAGGGGGTAGGGGGGCATGGGCAATTATATGTAACCTTAACACTTGTAACCCCATAATACGCTAAAATAAAAATAAAAAAAGTAAGAATGGGGCACTGAATAGCGAATTGTAAAGGCTTTGGACTGAGGTTCTTGATCAGAGGATGTTCTGGCCAGGAAGTTTGGGCCAGAACGGTATAGTCTTGGCTACAAGCATCCAGGAACTGATGAGGATAAAAAGGCCAGGGCATGGTGATCCCCATCTTTTCAAATACTGTTGTCAGGCCAGGTACCCCCAGGCTGAGGAACCTGTTTTTCCATTTCTGGAGGTTATCAAGTCTCCAGTCCTTGCCCGGATGGGGAGAAGGATCTGAGCACCTGACAGCTTTCTAATAGCTTTCAACCTACCTTCACTTTAGCTGCCACCTTTATTCCTAGTTCCAAAAGTACTTGATATTGCTAATTCCTGGGCTTCTGGGGGACTCTAGGGTAGCCACTGGGGTGGTTGTTGGCTTTCCCTGCTGCTACTTGGCAGTCAGTTTTCTTGGGTCTGTTAAGTCCTTTATCACTGGCTCACCTGCTTTCCAACTTCCAAAATTTTTTGCTGTGATCTCTTTCCTATTCTCATTCTTAAGGGTTTATGCCATTAAAAAAAAAATATACACACACACACACACACACACACACACACACACACACACAAATCCCTTTATTGTCAACTTAAATAGTGGGATTTTAAGAGTTTGGGTGCAGATTGCCCTTTTCCTAGGGGATTATAATTGTGGAATAGGAAGAAGTCCCTCCAACCTCATTTTTTACAGATGAATAATCTGAAGCAACATATACACAACTCATGCAAGGAGACTAGGCTAATGCACAAGAGTTCCAACTAAACTCTGGGTTAGTCAGCTTTCCATTATATGGTACTATTTTTTCACAGAATATTAAAGTCTCTCTCACCAATCCTTTTGAACTCATGCTGTTTCTATGAAAATTAAAACTTCCTGTTCAAATTTACTTCGTACCCCAGAATTCTAGAATCTTCAACCCAGACTTTTTTTAAAAGCAGTACAAGAGGGTTTCCTTCCAAGAATCAAACCACCAATACACTGAATCCTTTTACATAGGCACACAGCTGCCTATTCCATAAGTACCTAGGGGACGAAATTCAATGAGAGTCAATTGGAGAATTTTAAGTCTCTCAATAGGTTATAAAGGTACAGAATGCTTTTTGTCTTTTTTAGTTGTGGCTTTCCTGAAAAAACACTAAACCGGCATTCACAGAGATGAGTAGAGATTAATTTATATAAAGACATAAACCAAGCCAGCATGAAACTTGAAGGTAGAATTTACCCAGAAATCAGCTCAAAGTTCTCAGCTGATGCATGCAAACCTGTCCTGGGTTGATCCTGCTTCTGAAGGTAGTAACTACTTCGAAAATCTATGTGAAGAACCCTGAACACTAATTATTTCTCTGGATGATTCCAATATATAAAATAATTCTAAGAAAAAATTAAAAGATCTCTTGGCCGGGCGCGGTGGCTCACGCCTGTAATCCTAGCACTCTGGGAGGCCGAGGCAGGCGGATTGCTCAAGGTCAGGAGTTCCAAACCAGCCTGAGCAAGAGCGAGACCTCATCTCTACTATAACTAGAAAGAAATTAATTGGCCAACTAACATATATAGAAAAAATTAGCCGGGCATGGTGGTGCATGCCTGTAGTCCCAGCTACTTGGGAGGCTGAGGCAGGAGATCACTAGAGCCCAGAAGTTTGAGGTTGCTGTGAGCTAGGCTGACGCCATAGCACTCACTCTAGCCTGGGCAACAAAGCGAGACTCTGTCTCACAAAAAAAAGAAAAAGAAAATCTCACATGCACTAGGAAACATACATGTGTTTGTGACATATGGAGAGAGAAGCTGGTGGGAAACAGCAGGACACTCGTTACAGTTGCCAAAGGGATTGCACTGAACATTTCCATAAGCCAGTCAACAAAAACAAAGAGAGCAATAATTCTGCTCAATGACAGACCCATACCTTAGCACGAGAACCTAAACAGAAAACAGGAATTTAAAAAACATAAGAAAGAAGAGACTTTTCTAACTTTAATGATTCTACTACTCAGGGTTATGTTTGAAGACACAGAAAAATTCCTTTCTACTTCCCTCAAACACTGATATAATAAGCGTGGTAGCAACTAGCATCAAACAAAACACCACTTATCTTTTATCTTAATTATTAAATTAAGGCCTGGAGCAGGGTGGCTCACACCTGTAATCCTAGCACTCCAGGAGGCCGAGGCAGGCGGATTGCTCAAGGTCAGGAGTTTGAAACCAGCCTGAGCAAGAGCGAGACCCCGTCTCTACTATAAATAGAAAGAAATTAATTGGCCAACTAACATATATAGAAAAAATTAGCCAGGCATGGTGGCGCATGCCTGTAGTCCCAGCTATTTAGGAGGCTGAGGCAGCAGGATCGCTTGAGCCCAGGAGTTTGAGGTTGCTGTGAGCTAGGCTGACGCCACAGCGCTCACTCTAGCCTGGGCAACAGAGCAAGACTCTGTCTCAAAAACAAAAACAAGACAAATAAAAATTACTAAATTAATAACATGCCATTAAAGAAAAAAACCCCTCAAATACACAACCCTAGAAATGAAAGTCCTCCATAAACTCACCCTACACTTTGGAAGGGGGGGAAAAAACCTCTGATCTCTTCATGTCTAATTTTAAATTCTTTAAATAAAAATTCAAATAAAATAAAACCTGCTTTTCAGTAGCAGTAGAACCTTTTAGATAAGTGAAAGAGACAGAGGAAATTAACTGCTCATGCCCTGGTGAAACCTGTGTGGTTGTTCTGAGGAGTCCTCATGCAGCTGCCTGGCAGTGGGTGGGGCTATACCACCCACTCGCTTCAGGGCTTCCAAACATCAGTGTCTTACTCTGCGAAAGCCTGTGTTAACACCTCCTGCAGGAGGGAAGTGCTGAGAGAAAAAGCAAGCTTGCTGAGTTTCTAAGCCATGCTCTTACTTTTTAATTTAAATCTAATCTATTTCAAATCAGGACATGTTCTTCTAGCAAAGGAGGCACAAGGGCAAAGGCGCCAGCTGCTTCCACATCTAGAAGATGGGAGAACAGACCCGCTGCCTACAGATCCTAGTGGCGACTGACTACACGGGGCTCACAAGCCAACACTTTAGAACCAACCACCTAGGAAGCTGTTAAAAATCCTAACGCCAGGGCTATACCCCGGACCAATGAAACAGGCACCCCGCAGAGTCACACACAGATATCAGTACGTTGTAAGCTCTGCTGGGAATTCCAACATGCAGACGGTTGGTATAGCCACCCCCATACATGGTAGTGGTAACAATCTTTCTTCCTTGTATTGCCACACCCAGTCTGAGGAGGGACTGTAAGTGCTACCCAACAGATTCTAGGAAGAACCACCACTTTCCCCTCCCATCTGGAAAAAACATAGAAATTTATACATACTATAAAGATGCCATTCGGACAAATACCTGTGTGAAACATAAAGCATTAGCATTCCTCAAGAGTAAGCCTGTTTATGGAGGACTACCTGCTGGGAGAGCAGCCACCATGAAGACTCCAGTCTGGGCATCTGAAACCAGAGAGGAAGAGGCTAAGGATCTCCATGTCACTGACTATGCTGTAAGGCAGGCCGGCATGACGTCATTCGTCCTACTGGCCTATGACAACAGACTTGTGTTGAAGCATGTGGGCAGTGGAACACTGTTCTGTGTGACTAAAGAGGAATGGGACCGTACATGTGGGCAGGCGTGTGTGAGTGTGCAGCGGGCTGAGAAATCCCTGCCTGCCCTCTGGTTAGAAGTTACTAAGTTGCACGGCACCTGGAAATCCATATTAAGAATGAGAAAACCGAGTCACTCAACCGCTCACCTCAGATACAACATTGAGTGGCTAGACTGGACGAAACCAAGAATTCCCTTCCAGTGCCAATATTCTCCTGCGCGAGTGTGTGTCACCAACTTCCCCCACGCCCCGCTCGTGGTAAGTTGGGCAGGATTCACAATCTCATACACCAATGGCTTTCAGTGACAACAAGAATTTTCTGCAGGTCACTATCTCAGGCTTATTTCCACGCTCCCAGGGCTATACCCCCCAAAGTACATCCTTATTAGACAACCACCACTGTAGCTTTTAAGAAAACCAACGTTACTTAAATGTCACGCTGAAGTTTTCAGCTATGCGAGGCCTAATGAAGACTCGTGAATGTATGAGCCCCAGCGCTGACTCAGGGAGGAGTGCACACAGGCCAGGCCACCCTCATTAAGCCAACAGTGCTCTGAGGAGGAGCAGCCAGGTCGGAGGTCAGAGGTGGCAGTGCTTTAGGCCCAGAATACACTCTCTGGCTATAGCAGGCAGAGATGAGCTTTGAAATGAATAAAAATCGTGGGTTTTCATTGCGTATACCTTCAATAAAACACAATTTCCCTTTCAGTACAGTACGAGTATGCCTTACGCAAAATGCTTCAGATCAGAAGTGTTTTGGATTCTTTTAGATTTTGGAATATTTGCCTTATTCTTACTGGCTGAGCATCCCAAATCTGATCATCTGAAATGTGAAATGCTCCAATGCTCATTTCTTTTAAGCGTTACATTGGTGCTCAAAAAGTTTCAGATTTTGGAGCCTTTGGGATTTGGAATGTTCAACCTATACTTACTCATCAAGGATGTGCCACTAACAAAGAGGCTTATCAAGATGGTAATCTCTTTAGAAATATGTTACGACACTTAAATGTGTTTTCTTGTCAAATCCACTCACCCACGCACTCCACATTAAGTGCCTCCTATGTGCCAAGCAGCATACAAGGTACAAGGTACTAGAAATACAAAGATAACAAAGGTGACAAAGGTACCTCTGGGACTCAGATGACAGGCGTCAGAGTCAGTCTGCAAAGCCTGACTCCACTGCTACATCAATGCTGTGACCTCTGTGTGCCTTGGTCCTGCCATCCCCTGCAATGGGGACATAGTAGCTACCTTCCTGATTTCTTGTGAGGATGACATGAGATAATGCAAGTAAAGCACGTGGTGGTACACAGTAAGACAGTCCCTGATGGCAAAGACTTCCAATCTAGGGAAATAGACAAATTAACAAAAAATAGGTTAACTATTCCAACCAGAGGGATGCAAGGAAGAATTATTTTGGTGTATGATAATCTGAGAATAAAAGCATGCAAAGTCAAATGATAATGGGTCAGTGGATTTAAGTTCCAAGGATGCAACTCACTTCTGTGCTCAGTTTCCAAAGACTACCCTCAGGAATTAGTATAAGCCCATGTTGCATGAACTGCAGTGGTGTGGGTGGGGTCCTGCTACGTGCTCCTCTAACTTCTGAGAGAACTGACCATCTCGCCAATGGCCAGATAGACAGACTCTAGCCTCGCCTAACCTTGGACAAGCAGCATGATGTATGGATGGGATAAATGTCCTGAGAGCACAAATGTGCCTTTATTCAGAACCTTGCACAGGAGAGAGCTCTAGTCAAAAGACTCCCTAGTTTCATCACTTAACTAGAAGCAGGTTTGGGGCAAGGTTTAGGGGGTGACAAGACCAAGCTACTCCATCTTCCCCAAGGTCATGTACACTATGTGCAGTGAATGGAAATAACATAAAATCCTGCCTCACCTGACAGAGCCACATTCAAATCATGGGAGACAACGTGTGTGTGGATCCTTTGTAAAACCTAATACTACACACCGCAAATGTGCTCGGCCTTCTCTCACAATGGGAACTACAGGGTTTCCTCTCTCAGTTATGGTTCAGAGCTCAGGCAATTTGACCCAGACTGATCACAACTTGCCTAAAAGGCTCTGAAAAGTCACTCAACTTGCCATTTGCAAACAAGAATCAAAAGCTTACCAGTTTGGCTACCTACAATCCTAAGTCGCTGCTAAATTGGCCAGCAGGGCAGACACATAAATTAGGATGTGGTCAATTCTTTTAAGAATTTAACTTCCCTTTGAGAGGTAATGCTTTCTCTTGATTTCCCAAGCACCACAGAATAAATCTCATTTGCAATGTCTGCAAAGCAATTTCACATTTTATGGTGAACTTTGAACAAGCTTAGAATTTATTACAGAAGAGGACTGATTTAGAGGGAAGAGTATTTTTAAATATGTATATTTTTAAAATATTAGGCTTGGCTGAAATCATTAAGAAGACACAGGAAAGCACATTAGTCCTTGGTTAAAGAAATGAGACAGATCATGAATCTTTAGCACAAGGAAATCTCAGAATTCATTTTAAATAAAAACCATTCCTGGCTAGACTGGGAAAGCCTCATGACAGTCCCATTTAACCATGTGGAAATAAATATTTCCTGTATTCAATTTTTGGAAGAGTTAAAAAAAAAAGAGTGAGAGAAAAGCTTTATCTCAAAGGTGAATAACTTGCCATACATAGTCTTACAAAAATAACTATAGTCAAAACCATGATTCAAAAACAAGTTTTTGTGTTTTTTTTTTAAAAGACAGGGTCTCACTATGTTGCCCAAGGCTGGTCTCAAACTCCCAGGCTCAAGTGATCCTCCCAGTTCAGCCTCCCAAAGTGCCAGGATTACAGGCCTGAGCCACTTCTCGTAATACAATGTTGGGCAGCCCATCTAACCTCTGTGTTCTTTTTTTCTCTGTATACAATTATAGTGTTTATAAAATAACAAAAGCCAGAGGTCAAAATTCCAAAGATTGAGGAAGAAATGTTTAACTCTTGTACCCATCATGGCTGTGTTTAGCTCAATGGTCTGAAAAACTTCCTGAAAAAAATGAATGCATCTGAACCCAAGCATGTAACTGTGATTAATCTATAGGATGAGCACCGCACCTGACTGGGGAAGGTAAACCAGGCGATCTCGTACATTTTCCCTCCAGAACTTGCTTTTATAACTATAATTTGTGAAAACTGCCCCCAGATTACATGATCATTGTGAAATGGAAATTCATTAAGTTTCAACAAAAGTGGATCCTTCATGAATGGCTTGGTGCTATCCTGGTCTCTACTGGTTCCCTGGAAATCTGGTTGTTACAAAGAGCCGGGCATCCCCCGACTCCCCTCCCTGCTTCCCCTCTTGCCATGCAGCCTCTACACAGCAGCTCCCCTCGCCTTCTGCCACGACTGGAAGCAGCCCGAGGCCCTTGTCAGAAACAGATGTTAGTGCCATGCCTCTTCTAGGGCCTGCAGAACCGTAAGCCAAATAAACCTCTGCTTTGTAAATTACCCAGCCTCAGGTATTCTTTTATAGCAACACAAATGGACTAAGACATATTTTTTTTTTTTTTTGAGACAGAGTCTCGCTTTGTTGCCCAGGCTAGAGTGAGTGCCGTGGCATCAGCCTAGCTCACAGCAACCTCAAACTCCTGGGCTCAAGCGATCCTTCTGTCTCAGCCTCCCAAGTAGCTGGGACTACAGGCATGTGCCACCATGCCTGGCTAATTTTTTCTATATATATTAGTTGGCCAATTAGTTTCTTTCTATTTATAGTAGAGACGGGGTCTCGCTCTTGCTCAGGCTGGTTTCGAACTCCTGACCTCGAGCAATCCGCCCGCCTCGGCCTCCCAGAGAGCTAGGATTACAGGCGTGAGCCACCGCGCCCGGCCTTAAGACATATTTTTTTAAAAAATGAATGTAGACTCATTTGGTGAGAGCTTTTTCAGTAGTAAGGTAAAAGTCAGCCAGACCTCCACTCGAGTGTTTTATAATGCACTTTTTCCACTGAAAATAATTATCGAAATCAAATTTACCTCTCTTGGGAAAAGACATTCTAATTGGACCCTCTCTTTACTAAAAACATACCTGAGTCATTCACACTGCTGTTCCTCTTGGCGTAAGCACTCCGAAGCACCTGCTCGTAAACCTGAGCACCAATCGTCCTAACGTTGTCCCGGATCAGAATGCCTTGAGCCTGCATCATGAAGAGGTAGGTGTTCACTGCACAAAACAGAAGGGAAGGGGGAAAGAGGTGAACTCAAAGGCAATCATAATAAAAATGTATCACATGACTTTGGGGTTCTTTTTTCTTCTTGGACCTTTAAAACTTCTTTCAGCTCTAAAATCCTACAAGGTCATAACTCTATTTCCATACTAGCTTCAATGCTTTCTGGATACTAACATTCCTCAGGTATGTAACGAGGATCAGAAAGACCTTTAGCAATCAATTAAAACATTTTTAAAAGGTTTCTGCTTTAAAAAAAAAAAAAAAAGAAGAAGAAGTCAGGGTCTTGCTCTGTCACCCAGGCTGAAGTGCAGTGGTATGATCACAGCTCACTACAACCTCAAACTTCTGGGCTCAAGTGATGCTCCTACCTCACCCTCCTGAGTAGATGGGACTACAGTCACACGCCACCATGCCTGACTAATTTTTTTTATTTCTTGTAGAGATAGGGTCTTGCTATATTGCCCAGGCTGGCCTTAGGTGATCCTCCGGCCTCAGCCTGACAAAGTGCTGGGATTACAGGCATGAGCCACCAGGTCTAGCCAGTTTCTGCTCTCTTTAAGTTCACCTCAGTACTAGATTGCTATACACAACCACTGACTGCTCTGCCTACTGGAAACACTTAAAATCTTGGTCTGGTCTTGGCAACCCTTCCAAAGTGGTAGACTAAGGCTCCAACCACTCTTCTTTGGGGATTTGGAGAGAAAAAGGAGATAACGAATGAATGTCCTCAGTCCTCACTACCCACCCAGCCCAACCCAAATGTCCAGAGCAATAGGGAAAGAGTAGACGGCACAGTCTGGTGTCAATTAAAACATGCTCTTAACAAATGAGTATTCAGATTACCCAGCCAATCACTGTCATCTTTGGAGAGTGATCTCTATTTGGATTTTCCTGAAGTCTCTGTATGATACAAAACTAGGAGGTCAAAAACATAACAGAATATAATTCCTATATTCCACCTGCAATCACAATTGCCACATATTTTCAAGACACTGTAAGATTTTAAAACATAGTTTCTTAACCAGCCATTCTAATTTCGTCACTTTCCTCTCATCATTGTTACATCTATCATCTCTGGATGTAACACAGAGACAGCACACTTACTAATCTAATCCTGGTGGGTGTCTGGAGGTGGAACCATTGAAACACTTGGCTGACCTCCAACAAGGTCCCAGGCAGCACAGGACCTAGTGCCTGGGCCACTCCTCCACACTCAGTACACCTAGCCTTGTGCTGTCAATTCTCACTCTTCAACAAGACCTATTTTGTTGACATTCTGTTTCATAATTATTACCATAGTGTCCTGTACATAATGGGCAGTAAATCAGTGACTCAATGGATGAAGCTTACAAGTCAACATGCTTTATTTCAAGCCATTGTGCTTATACTGGTAATGCTGATGAGCAGGGGGTGGAGGGGGGTGGGACTGGGCACAATGTTGAAAACCCCAGGTGGCCAACATTAAACAGGGACATAAAGTCTTTCAAAAGCCCAAATCATCTCTAAGGTATATTATAAGCCATAAAATAATAAGCAAAAGAAGCTTTTGGCTTTTATTTTGGTTTGCTAACAACTGTCTTATGGGTTAATCTTGTCATTAAACTAATAAATTTACACAGACCACATATTATTAATGCTTTATCTAATTATCCACAGGAACAACCACAATGCTGAAATAAAAACTAAGGAAGTAAATATTGCCAAACAAAAGGAAATAATCACAAATCCACAGACTTGGAATGGGACAGGATTTTAAAGAACACTCCTCAGTACCACTTAATGCTTCCACACTGCCCTATGAATCCCAAGAACACAGAGTCAATATGTCAAATACAGCCATCGGCAAAGAAATTCTACTTTGGATTAGGTCCAAAATGTTTCCCAGCCACTTTTACCCACTGGTTTTCTTTCAACTTTCCCAGCACCCCTCCCCAACTCCACGTCCACGTGTGCCCTTCCCACAGTGTCACATGTGGCTCCCCATCCGCCTGCTCCCTCTGAATACTGGCCCAGCTCTCTCCCCTCGACAAAGGGTAGTGTCTACACTGCCAGAGTGGCTGGTGGCCTGCGCGCAGTCAGATGAGCCCAGAAACAAGCAAAACGGCCAGCAGCCCTTTCCGTCTGTTACCAACGATCTGTCAACTGGAGCCCCCTTTGGAGACTCACAATGCACAATAACTCAAGGCCCAGAAACCCCCAGAATAGGGATGTTGAGTTATCTAACCTGCCATTTCCCAAACCGGCACCCCACCCCACCCCCGCCACTCCTGTAGAAAAACTAGTTAACATCAAGTGATCCCAATCATTTTGGAAAATTATGTTTTAGACTTTAAAACTTCCATTACGTGGTCAGATAATCAATCGCTATTTTGCTGAATGTTCCTGGTAAATAGCAGTCACACCGTATTATTGACTCATATTACGCTTGCCGGAGGCAAAATCCCCTTAATCTTATTTGAGATGTTGCTGCTAAGTTGCCCTTCTGTTTGGTGTTCATGCAGCTGGTTACATAGATCAAACTGCAGGACTTTACAAGTGTGCCTATTAAAAGTCTTGTTACTAAATTTAGTCCCTGGCTCTGGCCTAAACTAGGAAGTATATATGGATACACATGTTGCTTTCAATCTAAATTATCTCATTTAAAATTTATATCTCTGTGAAGCAGATGTCCTCTTGACTTTTAAAGATAAAGAAGTCAAGTCCTCCAGACATAATTTGCCCAAGGTTGTAAGTTAGTGAAGTCAAAACTAGAGAGGTGAAGTTAGGGGTTTCATAACATTTCGATGAGCTTTGCTTTGGAAACTATGAAAAGCAGTACTTTCCAATAACACGGTCCTGATCAACAGTGGCTGAATCACAGTTTAAAAAACAGTTTTGAATTGGCACACGCTTGTCAAATCTTCCATTGTTTCAACAAGTATCTCCAAGCACCTACTTTACCGTGTACTTTTTAGAGACACTACTGGCCACTGGCGGCCAAGGATGAGCAAAGCACTGAATGAGGTACAGACACAAACAAGACATTAGAATGTAGTGTGATAAAGTAACATTTAACACAAATGTAGGCTTACTATTAATAATTTTTTATACTTTCATGGCACATTATAATTATCATCCAGCCCCAGTATCTAGATTGAGGGAGCTCTTATCGCCATTATTCAGTTGAAAAATAAGCCCCATTCAGATCTACACAACCAGAAATTTCCATCCAGATGCCAGTGTAAGCAGCCTTGGGCCACGGCTTTAACTGGAGAGTTTCCTGAGGCCCCTCAGCCACCTGTTGGCCACAGGACAGAGCCTTTCTTCCTCTTTGCATTTGAATATAACACAGGAAGACACACACTTCCTCCCACTAGAATTCCAGCCAGCCATAGCCTTATGAACCAGGTAACATGGTTTTCACTTGAACACCCATTAACCCTTTGCACGTGCTTGCTTTTTTCTCATCATCCACTCGACATTATCCACACTCGACATCCAAGCTGCCTACGACTTATAAAAATTCCTCACAAGGTAATGAAATCTGACTTTCCAGATTAGGAGCAAAACAATTTGACACAATGAACCCAAAAGGAAAAGAAATAAGATTCTATACACTTGAGTTCATAATCTTTTATCCTAAATATGTATATTCTTAATGTTTGTTACAGCTGGCTTGGTAAACTAAGAGTTCTGAAGCAGAAAAGAAACCACTCCTTTCCTGACCACTCTATCCAATCTGGCAACAAATTGATACCCATTGTCACAACTACTTACATGTTTTCAAGCATAATTATGTGACAATTTTCTCACAAAAAGTGTTTAAAGAAAACAAGCAGGTAGGGGACACACACACATTAACAGAGTAAAGCATCCCAAAAGTTATTTTAGGGTTAAAACTCAATTTGATGAAATTGCTTACCTTTTGCTTACCTAACCTAGTCTTCCCCATTGAGGTAGAAAAACCAACTTAATCACAGGTTATGGATTCCTAGCTATTAAATAAAAATCCAAGTAGTAAAAATTAATATCTATTAAGTACCCTGTAAACATTCCCATTGAGGTGTTGTTAAATTATTAAACTATACATGAGATCAGGCATGAAAATGCTGTCTAAAGAGATATTAACTGCCTGGGTAGCCCAAGGTAATCATTTCACTGGTCTAAGCTCCAGCTTTGTTTCCCCCAAAATTCTTAATAACATGATGACCAGCTACCAATCCTCAGAAGGACCAATATCCAGACCCACGTACCCACCACAGAGGTTCAGCAAACAAAGATGCCCAAATTTTATACCACATAACCTGAATCAAACTCTGGGTCAGAGAAAACTAAGAATTCCCTTTCTGGTGCTGTTAGCACAGAATGCCTGCATCTATCAAAACACACCCTTCCCCTGCTGCACGGAAGGTCGTCTGATGAGAATGGGCTAAAGGCTCAAGACCAGCAGAGCAACTCTGCTCTCTGAAGCTAACTACAACTGACCTCTCCCCTTCCACACCCACCCTGTTCTGCCCTGTGGTGCCAGCCTCCTGCCTCCTGCCCCCCAGACAAACCCCCAGGAATGTGCTCTAGCAACTCCTGCTCATACTAAGCCTTAATGTCACTCTTCTTAGCTTTTCCTGATACCATCCCAACCCCAAGATTAAAACTATCCACTCCTACCTTTGGCCTCTTTCCCAACTAATACGCTTCTATCCATGCCCCCTATAAATCGGAGCCTGTCTCTTCCAACTAGCTGTAATCCTTAAAGTACGGACTGTCTTATTCTTTTCTTCATCTACGATGTCTAATGAAAAGCAGGCATTAAACTCTTTATTAAATTAATAAATTACAGCTTAGCACACAACATGCTGTTAGGGCCATTTGGTGGAGGTGCCTTGTTTTTTCAAGTTAGAAGTATACAGGTTTTCTGTAACCACACAGGAAAGATTCTATAAGCCAGAAAACGGACAATGAAACTGATACTTTACCAACTTTGCTGGTGTAGGTGTAAACTGGTATAACCCTTTGG